AAGGCCAATTGTATGAATTAAATATATGTATTATTAGCGTTTTCAACGACGACGCCTTATCATTTACATGCTAGAGGCTCGCGATGAAACTTTTGTGACGCAAACGCATAACGTTTCCTCGCCGATACAAACTTTCGTTTAGCTAGCCATGCTCAGCGTTATAGAACACGAGTGCACCTGAAGAAGCCCGATATTATGTACAAGACTGCTTATCATCTTCTCAAAGCTTATATTGCCCAGATGACAAAAGCTTTGTGAAATGCCAACGCGATATTATTTAACAAAAAAGTACCTACGTTTGTCATACTTGATAGTTTTTATTCTAATTATATTATGTTCCGTTAGGCCAAGATGTTAATGAACTTTGATTATATATATATATATAATCTGGCTGCAATTGCATCTGTTACTCCTTTGTTGATTTTGATCAGTATCTGTAGCAAAACTGAACACAACAGGTCATGAATAAAAAACTGATGCTGAGTCTGAAGTCTGTCTGTTTTTTTGTATATGCTGTAAGTGTTTTAACAAAGCTTTCTTAATATATAACAGAGTTTTAATAGGTCATAAAACTGATCGGGACAGTCTTGCAGTAAATGTGATACATGTGTAATCAAAAAAAGGAAGCAAGAAGCCATAGAAATCATCGGGGCAGCTCGTCTGCTAAGAATCTGACACTTTTGTTTCCGCCAAGAACGTCGGGAATATTGCACAAATAAGAACGATATTTATTTTATTTTTATTTTTTTTTTCGTATTTTAATTTATGTCTTTGGCTGGTTCACCTGATTCTAGGCCACATATCGGCAAAAGCCAAAAGGATGGCTTGCTTATACCTAGGTAATTAAATTCTTTCCTCGCTTAGCTTGAACTCAATAAGTAATGAAAATTAATTATTCCTAAATGTCTCATGCAGCGTTTAGCGACGACCACATATCACTGTGCGCCTTTGACACCGTCAAAGCTTTGCCCGCGAAAATACTCTGAGGTTCACAGGGCTTATAAAGTCAATACGAACATTTTACGGTAAAACTTTACGCTAGTGATACTATATTCCTCGATACTACTTCAGTATTAGCAGAAAATTTGCTAGGATAACAGTTACACAATTGTATGCATTTTCTGTACGTTACAAAATCCTTTATTAGCTTATCTCATATCGAACCGGATGGTTTTACGTTTGCTACGCTGTGTTGAAGCTAACTAATCTATACGGTCTCATGTTATAAAACTGTATGTACTTTAGAATGAGCTAAAAAATTATCATTCCCGTAGATCTCAACGTTAATAATAAACTCTTGTACTATTTATGCCTTTGCTCAGTTCACACCTTCTAGCCATGAAACAACCTATGTTACATTCGATAGACTTATATCCGACAAGTCCCCATATATTAAGTTACGAGTTTGCCTGGTGTTTTTTTTTGGCCCGCAATGATCGCCCTTACGTTTGCTAAATTTTTGTGAAATCGTTACGTATTGCGTCACACACTATAATGGAGAGTAGGCCTTTGTTGGTCTAGAGTACAATCAGGTACTACGGATGGCACTGGTTTACGATATAACATAAGATAGTCAACAAAAAAACATACGCTAGTCTGGTATAGGACACCAGCGTAAGCATTCTTTTTTCAAAATTTGACATCAGTCGCCTAAGCTGCAGAGATAGATCTTAGAGATAGTAACGGCTAGAGAAGATTAAATACTGGCGATAAAGTGAGAGGTCCCTTTATTACGTCTTGCAGTAACGAAAGAAAAGTTAGATCGTCCTATATCCAGAAACAAACTCTATTATGTGCTCAAGCAATGACTTATGACGTGCCCCGCCTAAAAGACACCAGCATGAAAAATCAAAAATTGCAAAAAATACAAGCAGAGAAGAGAGCGCAGAAAAAGGGACAAATTACAAGAACGGCCGGAAACCTCAATAGAATTTCTGAAGTAATCAAAGTTCAATTAAACTATTCATAAAAGGTCATTCCTCCCGTATTACTAGGCTTTATTATTTATTTGAAATTGTGTAGTCCAAACCGGAGTGTATATGCTTTATCTGTGTCCTTAGACGTTTATCCGATTAATGAGATGCCGTTAGAAAAGTTCTACTAAGATCAGTCAAATTTCCGGCCCTTTTATGTCTAAGATATGACAAGTCACAAGCGTCAGTTAGTATATATGCTCGTAATGGACAACGTATTGTCAACGAAACCATTCATCAGAGGACTATCCTCTATCGATCACGCGTAAACGTCAGTTCGGCACAAACTCTGTATTCCTGGTGACTTAGCAATGGAAGCAATTTTTCTGCACCTAACGTTTTAACCAGTTAAGAAATAACTGCCTATTTAATTAAACGGAATACTATCTATTTTCGGCCGAAAATCTGCCGCTGAGCTAAATACTCATCACCTGTACGCTTTCAAGGCCAGAACGGACGTCAAAACCCACTCCATGTACGTACATGTTATTACGATACCATTCAAAAAACAATGACGTGCATGCCTGTATTCTCGTGCACGCAATAGTCGCCGATTGGCCTCACTGACCCTGGAATAACGATAATTATTATAACACAAACTGTCCAATATGCGAATCATAGTAACGTAATAAACGGTCAACAGCCACTTACCGTTCCTTAGCAGTTAAAAAAAAAATTGATCTACCTGCCCATTGCGAACGATTGCCATCTTTCGGCGGACCGCCGATTAAAACGTCAAATTATAATGTACCAGTGGTTCGACTCGTTCCTCTAAGTGATCGTTGCCACGCACTAATATAATAACAGTTGTTACCTTTCTTATTTAGAGCCAAAAGCATTAAAAGCTTCTAGTTAGTGATACTAGCACATCAATTCATTCCCTGTTGTCGATATCAGCATATGCATGGTTACCCAGTCAATCGTTGTGGTTTGCTGATTGATCACAATCAGCTCGAATCGAGTACGTGACGCCATCAATCCCCACAACCAATAATGCCGTCAAATGCTTCCTACAGTTGCTGCCACTGCTTATCGTCGGTGAAGCCTTTCTTGCTCTGTATTTGAGCAAGAGACTCATTGACACGCCGTCCTATCGGCCGGCTAGGAGCCCATGAACTCTCTCAACCGATCGCAAGTGACTGAGGCAGAAAGGCGCAAAGAAAAAAGATGGCGGGGGATGCAGAAAAAATACGCTGAAAAAAAGCTGTTGTTTCGCACTTATAAATGCGTACGAGATGAAATTTGTGATCTTTACTGTTTTGGCTTCCTGCCACAGTCGCGCTCAAACTCAGTTTTATGTGGTATCGTGGCTGGTTCTCTCATCACAGATGATAAAACTATATATATAATAGATTATATATGAAGTAGGCCAGATTGAACGCCGCCTGTTTAGCCCGGTTCTCGCGGCAGTATCCCACACCGATTCGACTCAACCAGTCGTTCATTCGTTTCATTGACATAATCGTCAGGCAGCTTATCGCAGTCGATAGAAGCAGGTTGAGACTATTTCTGTTTAGCATGTCACCGTAATTCGCGTACAATATACAATTACCTTATAATTAGAAGATTTTCTGCTTATGTTGCTCATGGTAAATTGTTACCGAAGGCGTAAATGATAAACAAATGAATTGTACTTCATCTCTAACATGTCAGCGCCAAAGCTGTTTATACATGGTCTATAATATACAAATCGTTTTAGAGGAGATTGCATGTTCGCTGGTCTTAGAAGCCGATTTTGTTGTGCTGTAACAACGATATTCTGTACGACAATGGCGCGTCGTTGAATTTAAAAAAAAAAAAATATATATATATATATATATATATATATGTATGTATATATTTAAATAATTAACGAATTCGGCAGCAATGAACTGCTAAACTGAAAACAACACCTACGGCAAGCCTAGTTTTACCTAGATTTTATGTATGAAGTTTAGAGGTTGTGTATAGAAGTTATAGATGCAGGTGACTTGTCTGTATGTTACACGACAGTCGTTTACTCGCGACGTACATTACTAAGTTGGCAATGCGTAAACGGCATCTTGCACACGTGTTAAATCGTAATTTAAATGGGTTTACTGGTTACTTACTACTGCGCCATTGTCTGTTTGTCCGTTTGCTAGACGTTCGGTCATGACAATAACTCTACTGGTCAATTACGCACTCGTTTAGTCCTATTTCACTTGATACACTCTCTTTAATTGGAACTATGTTTAAGTAGTTCTCGACGCTAAAACAAACCCTTTTCTTTGACACTCGAAATCGTTCTTTGTTTTTTTTTTTTGTCCTTGTTAGCTAATTACCGCTAATTCAAAGCTACATCGACGGTTCTCCGTCGTTCTTTCCGCCCTATTCGCGAGTATCGCCACAGCAACATGAAGAAGCCGGGCCGAAAGTCACGGACGAAGCAGAACACTAGCCATGCTGCACAAAACCGCGAAGAACGCCACTGTTGTTCTTATATCAAATCGGTGATAGGTTTTTTTTTGAGGTCGCACAGTCCATCGTACATTCCTCAAAACGCTTGGCCCACAAACCTACGGGGGCAGCGGCAGCGTCCCAGCAGCTGTCGCCCCCATAACCGCCGCTGCCAACTGCTTTTGCAAGTAACCGAATGAATCGAAACTCTCCGAACTCTTCTGAGTTCAGATCGGTCCAACTACCCGTTTGAAATAAACACTGCATTAACCGGTACAATCGGCGCTAATAACAGGGACACCACTTCTAGCGATGCAATATTTCTGGTTTTATCTGAGAGGGATTCGGTCCCGCCTTTTATTTATGCGCGAAACTAAGGATAGTTATCTCAAACACAAATGCGCCGCTAGCCCGAGGTGTTTTAGTTCCCACGTCGTGCGCTGCTTTTCTAACAGAGTGCATTGTAGATAGCTTCGAGGTCCTGACTTCCATTAGATTTGTAGACGAATTAAGCTGAATCAAACGACACCGTTAACTGTAGTTTATGCATGACATAATTATCATACATACCACTTTTTTAATTACCAGTTATCGCTTAACGGGACTCACCACTATACCATATTCAGGAGCAGATTGTTTGCGCAATCGTTAAGAAAACGAGATATATCCTTAGGACTATGATCAACCTGCCCATTGACCTCTCGCTAGATGGCTTATAAGGGTATCATTGTGGCGCAAATCAACGCATTTCGATTCCAAACATAGAGATAGGTTTTGTCAATGCTCGAAATCCTCTGTACTCGTATGAATTCACCAAGTATCCAGTCCGATCATTCGTTTCATGGTGCTCAGTTCAACTGGAGTTGTCACCACGCAGGAGAGAAACTTTTCTGTCGACGTAACGTTGACATCTTCAGTAGACGTTCTCAACGGAAAACGTCGTTCCTCCTAGGGAAACACTCGCACCACCATTTTGTATTGGCTTTTCTGCATGCGTTGTCTTCGGTCCGCGTGCGCGCACCTGTCTTTTTCCGTCGCCCATCGATCAGGAATTTCTATTCCATTCTCTGTCTGTTAGTGGGCGCGTGTTTTCCGTAGGCGGTAGTAGCTAGCGATAAACGAACGCTTACGGTTTTTTTCTTTTATCTGTCGCAACACAAACCGCCCGATATTCACTCACTGCTCGCTTAACCACTCTCCACCCAACAATTACATTACCACTGGTCAGGCTACCAGAGCTATTTCTCCTGTCAGCGACCACTACGATGACGGCGGCTATTAACAACAGCCGTGGCAGCTGTTACGATGATGCCAATTGTCATGGCACTGACAGACGAATGGCCGGTGGTTCCTTGCTCGGCCACCGCCAACCCGGCCGGCCAAAGTCGCTCGAGTCAGCTCTTGACCAGGCCCTGCTACAAACCAAGCGTCAAACGCTGATTCGCGTCGTGTCGAGACGCGGAACACGCGGTGCTGCGCTATCCAGCGCGGCGCATCCTGGTCCGACCGGCAAACAAACGTGTCACATGGCTTCGCGCTGCACTGCGTTATTGCGCGTCTTTATCTTCGACGTTAACGTCAACTATTGTTATTATTGTTGTTGTTGTTGTTGCTATACTGACGTCGACGAAGTTGCTCCTCATGCAACTGCTGTTGTTGCTGCTGCTGCTGTCGCCGATGCAGATGTCAGCACCTACCGTAGTGGTAGAAACATGGCGATGGTTAGTCATATTCGCTGCAGGCATGGCAGCACTGCCAGAAGCGGTGGCGAGCGGCCTTTTCTACGACACGTACGTGGATGTATTGATGCAGCGAAAACGTTCGACAGCGGCCACCGCTGGTCCGATCGTCGCGCAAGTGTCAGTCGTTGCGATCGTGGTCGCGGCTAATAGCGTTTTTAAGCGTCGCACTTGTTGCATAATCGTCGTTCTTTTCTGTGCGGCTTCCGATGACTACAACGATGGCGATGCCACTGATGATGATGCCGGTTGAGGATGTCGCTGTCGCTGCTGTTCGTACAATTGTTCACGGTCCTTCGATTCAGCCTGTTATTAGCGATCGCTCGCCTGTCTACCGGATGTTGATAGGCGGCAGGTCGCTTGCCTGTCTGCTAGCCGGCGACTGCCTGGCCAGGCGGTCGCCGGCTCTGTCTCTACGATTCGCAGACTACCGCTTCTCCACCTGTTTGTATGTCTGTCTTTCCTGCTTGCTGCCGTCTTTTTGTTTCGTTCTATTTCACTCTGTTGTTTGTAGCCCGTCCAGTGCTGGATTGCTGCTGGACGCGTCGTCATCGTCGTTTCTACCGCCGCTGCCGTCTCCGTTCCCGTCTCTACGACCACTGGTTTACTTGCGGTGCTGCTTTTGCTACTCTATTGCCGATGTTTGCCACCATCACCGCAGCTGCTGCCGCCGCTGCGGCGATCGCAGCTGCAGTCGCGGCGGCGAGAGCCGCCTTGCCATCGCCATCGCCAGCGCAGCAGCAGCAGCGGCAATACAACTCCACTACTGTTACTAGTAGTCGCTAATAGTTCAAGTAGCATTACTACGACTGTTGCCATTCTGCTGCTGCTGTTACCGGAACGGAACAGCAGCAGCAGCAGCAGCAGCTGTAACCGCAGCGTCGCTGGAGACTCTTCTAGAAAGACCGTTACTAACAGCAACACAACGATAGTCGTCAGTGTAGACGTAGCTATGGTAGGAGAAGAAATGTCTAGTAGTCTGCTGGTTCAGTTGTAGTCTACTTGATTCCAGTGCGTCGTAGCAGCGCGCTGATGAGGCCGCCGCCATCACTCCGTCGTCTCTCTTTTTGCACGTCCAACCGCGTGTCCGTTGGCTGGTTGGTTAACGCGTTTTCTGGCCAAGGCGCCGCCCGCAGCGTCGGCAACCAACGGCATCAATAACCATTCTCATCAGCAACAACAACATCGTCATCAGCAGCAAGAACGCAGCATTAAGCAGCGAGAGACCTCCGTTCCGGCGGCGGTGCGGCCGCTCCGCCGTCGTCAGAGCGCGTTAACGTACCGCGCGCCGCACTAACGTTAACGCAACGTAACTGGCGGAGAAGCAGACCATTGCCGCTAGAAGCAGCCGACGACTCGTCGGTGGCCGGCGCCGCCGTTGCCGCCGCCCGCAGCGGCAGCGACAACAAAAACGCCATCGGTGTCGGCGGTCGACATGGAAATCACAGCGATGACGCTGATGATGATGACGTGCTCCTGCGTTACTTCTCTCGTTCTCGGATACAAATTATAACATTGTATCGTTCCTCCGATGGTGGTGATAGCGCCGACGCAGACGCAGCGGCTGGTGCTGACGACGGCGTCGATGAGCATCGCGCCGCTGCTGGACTAGTTGGACTAGTCGGCTACCGCTGCTGCTGGTGACGATAATGCCCTCTCCGGCTCGATCCCTTGCCGTTAGTGAGACGGTGATGATGGTGGAAGCGCGCAGTGCGACGCTCCGCGGCTCGACGCACACCCTTTGCTGTTTGTATCGGTCGCCGCTCACAGTCGCCGTCCGCCGCAGTGTATAGTAGAAATAGTAGTTTATAGTTGGCGTTCTCGGTACTGCGCTGCTGGCTGGCCGTTGTTGTACCAGCCGGGCTACTCGCTCAAAGGATAGAGCGGCGGTGGTGGTGGCGGCGGCGGACTAAGTACGTTTCTTCCTTCTCGTGGACGCAGGCCACCTGCGGGCCGTTGGACACGGCCGGACCATCAAGAGCTTAGCCAAGGCAAACAAGCAACAAAAAGGCCAGCAACATGTCGCGTTTTTTTTTCGTATCTGCGTTAGTCCTATTGCTAATCCAGTGCAGCGGGAGAGAACACTCGCGGAATAGAATGACAACTCAACGCATCGATGGACTGAAGGGGACAATCGCAGTGGCGTTGAGCGTCGCAGTTCAACGCTGTTGCTGATGGACGAACGGCCGGCCGGATGCTGCTCCGCCAGGGAATTTTTGTCTGCAGTTGCCACGGCCAGTCCGATATATTGATGGTACTAGCTCCGCGCTGCTGCCGCTATTGCCATTATGGTTTATGTTGAGCCGCGTCGCGTCGATTGCTGCCGCCACGCCAGCCGATCCAGTTGCTATTTTGCTACTGCTACTGCTGATTCTGCAGACTTTTTCTCGCAGGGTCGGAAACAGGGAGAACACAGACAAAAGCTGAAACAGGCCGCGATTGCCACTGGTTGAAGGACGTTTGCGACTAACACTCTTTACACATTATGCTGAATATATAATATTATCTTCGAATACGTACACATGAATGGCATGAGTGAACGTTACGCTGGGTTCAACTTCGTAGTTCCGCCTAGTATTACTGTAGCGTAGTATCTGTATGGTGATCACGACGATGGCAGCTGGCCAGCAACAAGGGCCATTCGCTGTCACTCCTAATCTTTTCGTCTCCTCTTTCTCTCTAATCCTTTACCCCCCTCATCCTGTTGCTGATCGGGAAACGTGAGCGGCGAGTGTCGGTAAATAGCCACTTGTGCAATAATGAGGTTGAAATCAACCCCGTAGACAACATTAAAGGGCGGGTAAAGGCACGCAATAGGATGGCACGTGGGTGGGCCAACGGAAAAACTAGGCCAGCTCAACGAAAACGTCGCATAGCCGTCGGTATTCACACATATAGATCAAACAAAACAGCACAAAAAAATAATAGATGCTTTCCGTGGTAATATATGTTTTTGTAATACGAGTGGTGCAACTTGACGGTCCTTTAGTACATAACTAACAAATTGGTCACGTTAAACCCTATAAATGTTGGGCAGAGGATTTTAGTGCCATGAATTGATCGATCAGGGAAAGCGACAAAGCGACATTATAACAAGAAGAATTGACACCTTGCGATGCGCTAATAGGTGACTGATTCAATAAGTAGCCAGCTGTTCGTAATGAGTATCGATACATAAATATGATAAAAAGTAAATTTCCAAACTTCCAGCTCATTCGTCCATCAGTGGAAACGAACAAGTCGTCGGTCTTGCGGCTATAGGATTTCGGGTTCGGTTATAAAGCAAGACTCAGTGTTGTTCTTAAATCAGTTGCGTTACCATATCAGAGCATCGCATAAAACGTAGTTTGACCAGAATCGATACTACCGTCCCTGCTAAAGGGTTTCGGCCCTATACGAAGCGATCAAGCGAAAATACGAAGCGAAAAAGGAGATTCTAGTATGTACCTCTGACGTAACTCGTCGTAACTAAGACCTGGAATCCCATCAGTTTTTACTATTAAGTCGAATAAGCCAGTAGATAATCAATGTGAGCAAAATTATTATGATGCTCAATAAACACAGCAATGCTATGACGGAAACGAGATAACAGCTCAAAAACGTTGTTGTTAAACAAAAACGAACGTCTCGTAAACCATTTACCAGCAACGTATCTTTGGCTCTGAAGCTTTATTTTGTTAAGGAGTTGTGCGCTGACACCGAAGGGAAGTCAATATTATCAACGTTCATCGAACGGAACAGCTTTTCCGCTAGGAGGATAACTTGGACAATGATCTCGAACACATAAATGGAGAGACAGACAGCGAGTAAATGGGCATTAACGATCTGTGTGCATTCAAGTCCGTCGCCGCTCGAACAAGCCATTTCTCCATTGCGCTTCGCGATGTCCTTTGAAAGACATTACAGTCAATACAAATACGTTACGTGCTTAAAAAAAATTCGGCCGATTTTGGCTCTATCGTTCGAAGCGACATCAACCCAGAATAGTTTTACTGTTGACAAAAACAAAATATATATATATATATATATATATATGAACAACCCCAGCCATAATTATCGTACTTTATATGTTACATAATTAAGCGTCAACATGATTTCAAATGCACTTACATTTACGTATCATATGATATCGTACGATATATTCTTCAGCAAAACAGATAACATTTACTAACTGATAAGTTCGTTGTTAGTTGTTTGTCCAAAGCAGATGCTTACGTATAGCCGCTATAATATATTTAGGCGTTATATGAGTACGTATATGAGATCTCAGGTTGCTATTTCTAATTAAAGAGATTGCAAAAATAACATTATGATCGTTGATTTGGAGACTGCACTTTAAAGATTTACGCGGTCTCTTTTTTTAGAAATCGGACGGTAACATGGACAGATCTGTTAGCCAAACAATCGCTTAGCTCTGACCTCCTACAGGAAGATCTTGACACGAATCGAAGCCATGAGAGTTGTACATCCTTCAATTAGAATTGATAAAAAAAGGATTTGAGATGTTTGTATACCATTCAACATTGTAGTACGTAGGTAGTGGTTGACTGTTATCGTGGAGTGACATTTGCTCGTCGATACCTTTTCCACCTAACTTTGAACTTACTTATCGGTTTCAATGAGGATTCGTGAACGCACTATTTGTTCCGGACAAACGACACTTTTGTATAGCTCGTTCGTTGTAGCCCTCTGATTCTGTACTCACTCTTGCAAATGAATTACCGACCAGATGCTAAGTCTTGCCAGAACGGCTCTATTGATAGGGTTATCGCGGAATTAGCGGGCGTTGGCCCTAACGCGTTCCGAGTTCACTCACAAGGAAAAGTTAGCAGTTGATAGCAGGGTATGTCGAGACCCTTTGGCATAACTGTTTGATGTTCCTATTTCTTTTCGATGCTAAATTCCACAAATACGTGCCTTTTTGAATAGATTTTTTCTTTGTTAATGCTGAACTTTACACGCATGCGGCTTTAGACATTCTTATGTTTCCAACTCACAGATTGACCACTACTGATAGTAGTTTTCTTCGCGAGCATATCCTCTCTGGCGAGCTAGAATTAACCAAGTTAGATAAGCTAGTTTACTTTCTTTTAGCGTGCCGTTAAAGTCTGCTCTCTTATGGTATCATTCAACTAAATGATCTATATGTCCGTGAGATAATTAAGAGTGCTGATAAGGAAGCCATTAGATGAAGTAACATGTAGATTCGTGTCAAACAGTTCCCGAAATAGAGTAAATAAGCTCAACTGGTTTACTACACAAATTACTAAAAATTTCGGAGACGCCAACGAGAGACGTCAATAGGACACCAAGCGATAACTCACAATTTGTTCTGGAAGAAGAAAAGACCGTACACCGAACGTGCATTGGATGTAGAAAGCAAGACGAAGTGAGATTAGAATGTAAATTACGTAATTTTCTATCGAATGCACCGTTGATCATTGCTAGTATATCAGAAGGATTTTCATCTACTATTAGAATTGTCTATAAAGCAAACAATTCACTAATAACCTCTCGGTTGCCTAAGGATTAGGAATGAATCAAGTATTCTAGGAAATATTACCAAGAAAATCTACCATTTCACAGGATACTAACTTCTAGTTGTGTCCTTTGAAATACCTAGTTGATGGCGAAAAACTTAAACAGGAATAACTTTGCGTTTAGTTTCCGACATTCTACTCTAATTGAGCCGGTGGATATTCTCGTCATGTGAAAATTGTTGGTAGATTCATATATATATATATATATATATATATAATAAATCAAATCGATTTACATTTTTATGAGAAAAAGGGGTTAAGAAAACGACAAAATAAGCAGCTCTTTTTTTTCTAGTTTTAAAAACAAGTTTGGGAACATCATAGAAATAATCGGTGTCACGCATCGTGATAACATTGACGAGATGCCTCGGCCGAACACAGGATAGATG